GCTGCCTCCCGCCTTCGAGTAGCGGGCCCCGGGCCCGGGCGCCTCCAGAGACCTGCTCTGCGCACCCCGCACACAGAACCCCCCCATTCGCGGAGAGCACCCCGTCCTCCTCATGCAGCCCCGGGCTGTCCCGTCCATAAGCGTGCCGGAGGTAGAAGGTCGACATCACCCCCATGCGGGCCGCCGTCTCCACCGAGTCGGCCCTGGGCCCCCGAGGACCCCTCGGCTTGCCCTTGTCGGAGCGCGGCTTCTTCTTGCTGGTGGCCTCGAGCTGCGCCGCTTCGTCCAGGATCCCCTTCCTCAGCAGATCGCCGTGACAGGACTCAATCCTACCCGCGCATAGGAGCACAAGATCCGTGCCGTCTCGAACCTTCTGTGCCAGTTCGCGAAGTGCCCCTCGAGGGGGGCAGCTGGCACTCCGCGGTTCGGTCGTCGTGGTGATGCTCCTCCATCGCTGTTGGAGCGATGGTCCAGTGCGTCGTGCAGTCAGGTCAAGGTCGTACGTAGTAACGTCAATGCTCGGTCTTGCGTCTATGCTGTTGCGTATTGAGATCCTCAGCTGGTCTAAGTTGGTTTACGTTTGCTCAAAGGGGGGCTACGGTGAATACGACACTCTGTCGCACTCACGGACTGAAGTCAGGAGCCTGTTGGCGGCCCGAGACTGAACGACAGGGGCTCTCTCCGAGGCCCTCACACTCCCGTGCGGCGTTCAGAGAGTTCGTTACACACAATGGGACCGCCCGTCCTCCTCAATTCGATTATCGGGACCCCCGGGTCGTTACATGCGCCTCGTCACTCCGTTGCGAGCTCCATTCGCGGCTCCAATCGCCCCGAGTCACCGCGGAGGACTTGTCCAAAACCCTCCTCCGCGACAGATAGATGCTGAGAATACAACGAGAGATGAAGAGGAATGCCAGCACAAAGCACTTTGTGCCTGCACGTCGCGCGCGGCCCCCGCGTTTTTTTCGGATTCCGCACTCTCTTGAACTTGATGTGCCAACACTCTCTTGGCACTTGAACATCTCCGCGCCGCCCGAGAGCCCGCTTGCAATCCGTCAACGTCGGCCAGAGGTTAGAGGGACCCGCAGTGAAACCACCCCGGTGCCAACCGTCTTCGCTTTCGTCGGTTCCAAGTGCACTTGGAACCCACGAGACCCGAAAAGAAAACGTAACCGGCGCAGAGACTAAAAAGGCCATCGTCCACACGCTGTGCTCACGCACGCCGCCATCAACAGCGACGCGGTCGGCGAGGGCAGGACGGCGGCACAGGCGCGCCGCCTCTCCTCACACATACCTCCGCCCTAGCTACCTCCGCCCCCCTCGATCCGCCCCCCTCTCTCCCCGCGTGGACCCCGCCTCGGCCGAGCGATATGCTCCAACCCTCTGACCCTCGCCGGGTGTGTGCAGGCGCTCCGCTCGGAGGCGACCGACCTCTTCCTCCCCGAGGAGCTGAGCCGCGCGAGGCCGCACCTGCTGCCAATCACCCTCTGCCCGCCG